TTTCAAAAGATACCATTGAATCTGTATCCACCAACTTTTTGCACACCAGAATTGTAACAATATCCACCTTTGAAGGAAAATCAACTCAGCTCCACTGTGGGCTTATTTGCTCCTTATTTACTATGTCAAAGTTCCTCATCATTTTGAACAGCCCTGTTAAACCTGCTCTATAGTTATATTCTTTGAGCTTTAAACCAGGGTTTGGGAGTCTAGACTAACAAAATGTTTGCCCTGGTGAGTATCAGTATTAACTCAAATTCCTGGCAACTAATCAATGCAATAGTCTGAGTTGCTGTAAGTTCGATGCCAGTTTACCAATAAACATATCACATGCTAAACTGTCAATATGGTCTCGGTTAAGGAGGGATTAGGGTTTTACCTTGTTTAAAATCATGGAGCAAGTGCATGGGATCGGAATAAGGTGTAATTTCAATGGCTTCTAGAAGTAATTGACCCAAGTAGAGAGAGAAGGCCCGTATTAATATCAAAGAGAGTTCAGCAGACTTTAGACCTGTTTCTGTTCCACATTGCATCATGTGACAGAGGCTCTGTGAGATTAATCTCCTCCTCCTATGCTGTGTTCTGCAGAGACTTGAACTACAAAGAGTCAGATTGTTTGACAATAGGAAAACAGAATAAACAATGTTTGAATTGTGTCAGATCCAGCATTGAGCAAGTTTCTTTTAGTCCATCTGAATATAAACTTGTTTCAGTAATGTTTCAAAGTATCTGTTTTAACTGAGAAGTTTGCCTGTCATTAGTATTTTCACCACCTCTAGATGATTGGCAGGATCCTATGTATTTTCTGACACGTTATTACACAGTTGTGGTGTCATAATAATCCCTGGTGCACTACCCCCATAATGGTGTCTTTAAAGCTGCAAATTCAAATTCCAAGGACACTCTTGGAAATGGGAATGCAGAACTCCAGGTGGGAATGGAGAACTCCAACTTGGAACCGCTGCCATTTCTCCAGCATAACCTGGCTGGAAGTGAATGGGAAACCAAGGATTTACATGTGTCGGGGAGGTTTCTGCTGCACAGTTACAACATTGGAACCAGAGAGACAGTTCACAGACCCAGCCTTAAAAAGGCATGAATAAACTGCTATGTTTTTCTGTGAAGAGTGGAACAAAGAATTGGAAAGGGGATAGATGAACAAAAACTTAACCTGTTTACATGACATTCCCCAGGTATGTTAGCAGTAACCATCTCATTTCACAAAAGTCTATAAACATTTGATGCTTAAAAAATGATTTGTTTGTTGGGCTACTTCAGAGGTTTACAATTAGGGCTCAGATGAATGAGGATAGTTGAGATCCTTTCCCTGGGAACATTGATGAACTGTTTACAAAGTTCAACAGCTTTCAGTGTTTGTGAGCTGTCGCATGGATCTAGAATAGTGTTTGAATGTGTGACCTCTTTGGGCTTGCTGGTCCAGTAATGTAGCCAACCACCCAATAGTACATACCTCCTTTCATCCAGTGACAGCTTCTCAGTGAACATTAAATGCAAGTCTCTCTCACTCTCTGACAGGTGCTTCGTATGATGTTGGAGGCACAAGTTACAGATGACCAATTGGAGAGCATCACTGACCGAACGATCCAGGAGGCTGACCTGGATGGAGATGGTGCCATCTCATTCGAAGAGTTCCGAATGGTACTGCTGTTTCAGGGAGCTGAGTCCAATCGAGGGGTTGGGAAAATCCTATTGTTTAGATAGTTAACTATCAGTTCATCAGCTCACTACATAGTATGTGAAATCACATGAATCATGGAGGGAACTGAGTCAATGTGTGAACTTGATGCACTTCTTTGAAAATTCATTCATGGGGTGTGGGCATTGGCAGTCAAGCAACTGTTCATTGCCCATCCCTAATTACCATTGAGAAGGGGGTTGGTGAGATGCATTCTGGGGGTTGGGGGGAGGAGGGTTTCTGGGACAGTGTTAGGATTAGTCTGGGTACTTCAGGGAGGTGCAGGGTGAAATTAACTTGAGTTGCACTCCTGATCAATCTCTATTGATTCCTGAAGTGGGAGGTCTGGGTGGTACAATGGGCTGTCCCTGCTTCTGAGCCAGAACATCTGGGATCAGGTCCCACTAAAGGGCTTGATGGTCAAGAAAGGTGCATTCATTATAGCCAAATAGGCCGAGTGTGCACTTGTAAATCTTTCCAACGCAAGCCACTGGCAGGTGGAAAGAGTGAGAGAAATTCATGGTCTGCCATCGGATGGAGAGGATATTAGAGCCTCTCCCATCACTATCCATAGCTACAACCTCATGAAAAGGGAAGGGTGCTACAGAAACTTGGACTCCTTGTTGGGGCTGGTTGCCTGGACAGCCAGTATGGATCAGATTGGTGCCAATAGCAAGGGGTACATTCCCCTTTTGTCCTGGGATTAAGTCAGGTCCTGCCTTGTTGGTGCAAGTTGAGACAGTGGGTCGGACAGTCTTGGACAGGGAACTGAAGATAAAGGCTCTCTGTGTGGATCCTGAATGAAGGCTGACATCAAACCATGTGATAATTCTGTTGGATGGGCTGAGGGAAGAAGAATGACTACCTGGTGTTTCTAGAATAATGTCATAAATCCTCAAGCCCAGTGTGTGGGTATTCTGATATGTTTTGTCATACACTGTACATCCTTTACTTTGATCACACATTTGAGGTCTTGGAAACACTAAGGTCTGGTTAATACGCTTTTTAATTAAATCATTTCAATAAAACACAACCCCTCAATTAATATCCAATTAATACTTCCCATGCGCACCTCAGGAGTCTGCCAGTGTGTCCTCTCCATAGCTCACTCTCGCCCTAGAAAGACAGGGCCAAAGTTCCCAGGATCTTTAGCTTGTTGTCTCTTTGGTAGGTTTCATTGTGTGGGATAAACATGCGTTCCATTTGTCGCCATATTCTGTGTTTACTGCTGCTTAATTAAACTCAGATTGTGAGGTCAGTGACCATCATCAGGTTGAGTAGTTTATTGCCCTGCAGATATTCCATGTGAGGCCTCATTGTTCTCTGCAGTAGTGTCCATTCTTCAGGTCCCGACCCGAAATGTCAACTTTCCTGCTCCTTTGATGCTGCTTGGCCTGGTGTGTTTCCTCCAAATCCTCACTGTGTTGTCTCTGACTCCAGCATCTGCAGTTCTTGCTATCTCAGCGGCTTATTCAGAGCATCACTTCTCCAGAGTCTCGTATCTATCTGTGCTAAATTACTTGTCTCATGGACAGTTATTAAGGAGTTAATGGTTCCTGTTGTCCATTTCCACTAAAGAATGAATAGAGCTCGTTATGGCTGTTTCGCCATCAATTGTCTCTCGATTTGAGGATGGTGCCTACTCAAGGTTGTGAGTTTCTGCCATGAGGTTCATCTTGTGACTGAACAGGCCGGTCATTGGCTCTGTGATCTTTGGGCACATGGGACAGAATGTCCCATTAGGCAGTGGGATCCAGAGTACAAGATTTGCTTCCCTTTGTTTCCTTCTCTGCTTTTCGCCTTAATGATGAGGCAGAGCAGCGGTAGAGAAGGTAGGCTGTTCACTTGTTACTGATATAAAACCATGCTGTCCCTGTGGAACTGAAGTCAAGACACCTACAGAAAGGGTAATATGAGGAAGCAATGCATGTACGGTTTCATATCAAATATTTCTCTCTTGTGCTAACTGGGGCTATGTGGTAATATACCAGCCCCTAGGTTACAAGTCCCACATCAGCAACCCAAATGCGCAAATCCATACTGATGTTCTAGTGCTGCACTGAGGGAATGCTACATTAACATTTATCTAAGAAAACTATACCTCCATTGATGAGATTCCCTTTTGCCTGCTTGGGTGGGTATTTAAGATCCCAGGGCACTATTTTGAAGAACAGGAGAATTAACCCTGGTGTCCTGGCTAATAAACATATAAATTAGCAGCAGAAGTAGGCTACTTTGGCCCTTGAGCCTGCACCGCTATTAAGAACATATAATAATACATCAGGGTTAATGCTTCCGCTGTCCTGGAAAATAGTGCCCTGCAATCTTAAACACCCACCCACGCCAAGGGGAGCTCATTAATATCGTACCTAAGAAAACTGTACCTCATCCATGTAGTACTCTGCCAGTGCTGCACTGGAATGTCAGTCAAGATTTGTGCGTTTGGGTTGCTGAAGCGGGATTTGAGCCCAGGACCTTGTGACCTAGGGACTGGTATTTTACCACTGAACCCCAGCTAACACAGCAGAGAGGTGTTTGACATGAAAAAGTCCATGCAGTCCTTCCTCACATTGTCCTCTCTGATTATTCCACATTCCTGCCTGATCTCTTACCTCCTTGCTTAACAATCATTTATCCCCCTCAATGTTACTGCTTCCACCACCTTTTCAGGAAGAGAGTTCCAAAGACTCACGACCCTCTGAGGGAAATAAAATCTCTTTATTTCTGTCTGAAATGGACAATCCTTACTTTTAAAGAATGACCCCTTGTTCTGGACTCTCCCTCAACAGGAAATATCCTCTCCATATCTACCCTGTTGAGACCCCTCAGGATCTTACATGGTTCAACTGAGTCAACTCTTACTCTTCTAAACCCCAGGAGATACAAGCCCAGCTTGTCCAATATTTCCACAGCAGACAACTCTCCCCATTCCAAATATTACCTTCAACCAATATCACAAGTAAAGGATGCTCCGATCATTATCACATTGCTGTTTTTGGGATCTTACAATGTTTTTCCTATGTTACAATAGTGACTTGATCAGCTAAACAGCAATTTGAGATCTGGTCAGCATGAAAATTTCCATATAAATGCAAACCTTTCCTTTTGTTTGTTTTCCACCTTGCAGTCACTCGAGAATATTAACTTGGAACACAAGATGAGCATTCGATTTCTTCAGTAATGCCTGGACTGCTGCCCAGTGGGAGGTTCACCCATGAAATGCATTCCTGAGGAGAGTAAATGGACTGAGACATAAACTGCCATGTTGATGTTTCCATATTGAGATTTCAGTGGCTTCCTTGAATCATCCGCCCCAGTCACATGTTTCATTGAGCTTCTGCAGGGGTCTCTGCGGGGAGTGGGAGATTTTGGCATAATTCCCAACCAGTCTTCTGTTCTCTGGCAATGATGGGATTGCAAATCAGGAAGCAGAAAAGTCACCCAGGATTCCCACTCCTGTTTTGTGACACTCAGGGCAGAATTTAATCCAGGCAATGGTTATGAGAGCCCCACATCTCTTCCATGAGGGAAAACACATCGAACTAACATGCATGATCAGTAGTGAACCTTCCCCGGAATCAAGGATCCTGGAAGGTAGAAATCCTGCACCCCCCACCCCTTCCCAAGCAGAGGTGAGCAGCTGTTATTGCAGGCAGCGCCGCCAGGAATACAGTCACCTGAGGCTGAAGTTCACCGAAGAGTTCAAACCACTGGCGAGGGTGGGCTGGAAGGTGGAGTGTGGAGGTGCTGTCAGTGTGTCCCATCTTCCCAATGTCAGGTTCCTTTTTCAGGCCATTGTTTGCTCCGCAGGCGGCCAGCTGAATTTGAGAAAACCCATCTTAGTCGAATATGCTCTGTCACAGTCAGTGTTCACAACAGCGAGTCTGTTGTGGGATGATGTCAGTCCATCATCCCTAGAAACAAAGTGGGTGAGACATAGGGGTAGCCTGGTGCTGAGATGGGCTGTTAAAATAGCCCACCTCAGTTATCTGGGACCTCCTCCTTCTTGTTTGCTTACATTTAAGCCCTCCAGCCATCACATCTCTCACTCCATCATATTCCCACCTGCCCCATATGTTACCTTCATGCCAGCTCATGCCCCACACACCCCAGTGGCCCTTCAAGTTCCTTCCTGACAACTCGAACCACTTCCATACCCATTTATCTAGTACAGGATCAACAAATCTTACAATACCAATGGCACATGTGGCACTGCTTTCACCATTCATTATTCTTTATTTCAAAAAGAAAACTTGCCACAAACCAATAAAATGTTAATCAACCAGACCTTTCAAGTATCAATTACAAATTATAAACATTTGACGCCTGTTTATTTTAAGCAAATAAACACTGAGCCATTGATAAACATGATCACACAAAATAACTTATGGTACCATCATAAATCTGTAAATCTAATTTACAGATGTGTCTGAAATCTCATGCTTGGCTGAAGCCGGGACTCCCAGAAAAGGATTATGAGTGAGCTTGTTGAGGGAAGTGGAGCTTGTTGACAGAAGTGCAGAGTAGGTTGACCAGCCAAGATGCTCCTGATGCTGGAAAACTGACTGCAATTTTGTTTTGTTATTCCTTCATAGAATGTGAGCACTTGTTGCTAATCGTTAATTGTCATTGGGAGTTGACAGTGAACCATCTTCTTGAACTGCAACAGTCCATGTGGTGCAGGGGCACTCTGTTACTTAGGGTGGGGAGATTCCAGGCTAACCCAATGACAGTTAAAGAAGAGCGATTATAATTTGTTATAAAAATAGATCAGTACCCCACGTTACTTACAGATATATTGAACTTTTAAATATAACATATGTTTTTAAACAAAAGACATGAAAGTCAAAGAATAGCTGAGGATGTAAATTCAGTAGCTGTCTAAAATCTCTATGTGGATCACATGGAATCCAAGAGGAATCATGACATTGTTATACCTTGAAGAGTGTCATGGGAACTTAAAACAGAAACACTTCAAAGGGAGAGACACTGTTCAGAAAACTGAGCTGTGTTCTCCCATGGGTTATGTACCAGACTGATGAATTGGAAAAAATGAAAGGCAGTTCTGGGCAAAACGTGTTTCTTTTACAAATGTAAAGAGTTAAAAATAGCCCCAACCCTAGTCTCTGTGCATTAGTGTGCTAGTTTGTGCATCAAGTTCCAGCATGCTAAAGAGTGCTGTGAAGAGGCACAGCTGAAATTTTCAAAAGACACTACAGGTAAAAGAAATAGTCTCCCTCTCGGCTGAAAACAAGCCAAGTCAGCAAACCACTGTTGAAGGAAACTGGATAAACTGCTTTCAGTTAACTGCAGAACTAAGAATCTCCAAATTACCAAAATTGCTGCTACCAGAATCACCCACCTTAACACTAATAATCAGTTTGTCATGGGCAAGTTGAAGATCACTTTTGCTTTCTAGATTCACTTTACATTTCAAATCTGTGTGTATATTTGACATATTTTGATGATCTTTTCTCATGTTTTAGTCACTAATAAACTCACTCTTGCTTTAACTCAAGAAATTCTGGTTAAGTTGGCTTGTTTTCAAACATAAACATATTTTGGGCTGGGACAAGGCACATGATGAAATCTTGTGTGACTAATGGAAACATGGGTTGAACTAAGAAGAGGACCTGGTTCTTGCCTCCTCATGTGGGAGCATAACTTTGGAGTATCCCACCCAGAACTGTAATAAATTTGGGAACCTTGCTGGTGGACCAGTCGCAAAATGTTCCAAGTCAGAATGGTGACTTTGAAAACACTACCCATAAGTTCCTCTCCGATATCTGTGCTCTTGTTCTTCCAGCTGATACAGGCTGTGGGTTTAAATGATGCTGTTGAAGGAGGCTTGGTGAGTTGCTCCAGTACATCTTGCAGATGGTACATGCTGCTACTATTGAGTGGTGGTGGTGATAGGAGCCTAACAAGCTGCAGATTCATCCTGGATGTTGTTCAGCTCCTCGAGTGTAGTTGGAATTGTCCTGATCCAGGCAAGTGGAGGGTTTTCCATCACACTCCTGACTTGTGTCTTGTAGGTGGTTGTCAGATTTTGGGAGTCAGGAGCTGAGTAACTTGCTGCAGAATTCCCAGCCTCTGACCTGTTCTTGTGGCCACAGTATTTATAGAGAACAAAGAACAGTATAATGCAGGAACAGGCCATTTGGCCCACCAAGCAATGGCACCTTTCTGAACTAAAAACCTTCTGCTTCTGCGTGGCCCCTTTATTCCCTGTCTATTCATGTATCTGGCAAGATGCCTCTTCAACATTGATATTGTATCTGCTTCTACCACCTCCTCTGGCAGCACATTCCAGACACTTAACATCCTCTGTTTCAAAAAAAACACTTGTCTTTCACATCTGCACTAAACTTAACCCCCTTTTCCTTAAACCTATGTCCTGTAGTAATTGACATTTCTACCCTGGGATAAAGGTTCCAACTGTCCGTTCTATCCATGCATCTTGTAATTTTGTGAGGTTCTATCAGGTTGCACCTCTGCCTCTGACATTCAAGTGGAAACTAACCAAGTTTGTCCAATCTCTCCTTATAGCCAATACCCTCCAAAACAATGCAACATCTTGGTAAACCATTTCTATACCCTTTCAGAACTGTACACAATATTCCAAAATAGCCTATACAGCTGCAACATGACTAGCCAATTTTTATATTCTATGCCCTAACTAATGAAGAAAGGAATTTCACATGCCTTCTTGACCACTCTCGTCACTTGTGTTGCCATTTTCAGGGATTTTGGACCTGTATGCCTAGATCCCTCTGTATGTTGATGCATCTAAGAGTTTTGCCATTTAGTGTATTCTGCCTGCATTAGACCATCCAAAATGCATCACTTTGCATTTGTCTGGATTAAATTCCATCTGCTATTTCTCCGCCCATATCTCCAATTTATCTATATCCTGCTATATTCTCGGAATCCTTCTCACTATCTGCAACTCTCCCTAATATTTTGACATCTGTAAACTTGCTATCTCTGAGTGGCCCGATTAGTAAGAACTGCAGATACTGGAGTCAGAGTGAATACAGTGTGGACCTGGAGGAACACAGCAGGTCAGGCAGATCAGAAGAGCCGGAAAATTGACATTTTGGGTTTACACCCTTCATCAGGACTCTGGTCAGGAATCAGGCCACCTACATTCTCCTTCAAATCATTTATAAACATTATAAACAACAATATCCAAGCACTGAGCCCTGCAGAACACCACTAGTCACAGATCTCCAGTCAGAAAAATACCCTTCCACTGCTACACTCTGTTTTCTATGATGAAGCCAGTTCTCTATCCATTTTATCAGTTCACCATGGATCCCATGTGACTTCACAGTTTGTATCAGCCTGCTATGAGGGACCTTGACAAAGGCCTTGCCAAAGCCCATGCAAAATTCATTCACCATCCAGCCCTGTTTGTCACTTCCTCAAAAAATTCAATCATGTTTGTAAGACAAATCCTCCCCCACACAAAGCCATGCTACTGTTACAGAAATGATGGTTACATGAAATGAGCTCCCTAATGCTCATTTTATAAGCAATAAGTAACCATTTATTTATCTAAGTCTGACACTGATCAAATTAACAGAATTACTAACAAACTGAATAATTCCCCCCAACTACTAACTATTCCTGAATAAAACAATTCTAATGGTATGCTGTTCCAATTAATACAAATCCCACTTAACAAATTAAAACTTAGACTCTCGAAATGACAATTAGGATGAGTCTTCCAGAATGTTCCATGCTTTTTCCGCTATTCTTCAGTCAGGAATTCTTTCTTCATCAAATCCTTGCATCAGGAATATTATCTAAGAATGCCGTGGTACCTTTTAGATGGTTCTCAGAGAGTTGAAAGATTTCTATGAGAGCCAGAGTTTTATTTTTCTGATGGCAATTTGCTCTCATACTAATTTTCAAAAACTCTCTTCTTATGTACCCTTGATGACCTGTCAATTTTCTTATAATATGGTTGGTCCTAGGTTGTCAACACTATCAGATTTAAATTCAGTTGATTTTCAGTCTCTAAGTGCCTGGCTTAAATTAATTAGCTGATATTCAAGCAGTTGCCTTAACATCAAAACAAGCCTAGGTTGCCAACCACACGGCCAAACATATGTTTCAATTTCAGAACTGTCTGTGCATCCACAGCTGCTTGCAGATTTTTTTTTCTCCAAGCTTAGAAAAGCATTTCACCTCTTAAAGGGATCACACACTCTTCCCCCCCCTATCATTTTTAAAAACAAATTCTGATATCCTGCCTTTCAATTCACAAGTGCTCTAACCAACATCGCAACACCTCCCCGCTTAAGAGAAAAGAGAACCACCATTATGAAAAGATAGCTTCTTTTTTTCTCTAAATCTTGTGCCATTATTACTAAATCCATAATACATTAATCTGGAGTTACTTATTTCATACTAATTCTGTATGCATATATAACAATTAACACTATCATATCTATCTTATACACACATTTTCTGTTTTAACCCATGATAATGCATCCACAATAATATTTTCATGACCCGCAACATGTACAGTCTGTAAATTAAATGCTTATAATATAAGACTCCAATGAAATAGTCTGGTGCTCTTGTCCCTAAATCTTTCCAAAAATGTCAAATGGTTGTGATCAGTATACGCAACCCTCTCTGATACATTGTTCACAACATAAACATTAAAATGTTGTAAGGCCAGCACCAAACTCAATAACACTCTTTCAACAGTTGAATATTTTCTCTGATGGATATTGAGTTTCTTTGAAAAAAATAACCGATTGTCCTTTCAATGCCACAATCATCCTCCTGTAACAACACATCTCCAACCCCTACTTCGCTTGCGTTGATAGCGACTTTAAAGGGTTTCGAGAAAGTTTGTGTGGCTAAAACTGGTGTGGTGGTTAACACTGCTTTTAAATTCTCAAATACCTCCTGGCATTGTTCTGTCCACTGGAATTTCATGTTCTTCTTTAACAAATCATCAGTGCCACCACGCTACTAAAGTTTGGTACAAATATCCCATAGAATATGCTCAGGCCCAAAAAGCATAGCACCTCCTTCTTTGAGGATGATCTTGGAAAATCCTCGATGACCTTTGTCTTCATGTTCCTTGGTGCCATCGTTCTATGTCTGACGTTGTGTTCTAAGAATGTCACTTTCGCCATCACGAATTCAGTTTTTGCTAAATTTATGACCAGTTTTGCCTTCCACAGTCTTTCAAAGAGCTCTGCCAAATGCACCATGTGATCTTTCCATGAATGTCTAAAGATCATGTATATAGATGGCACAATTAGTCAATCCTGCCACAACTATGTTCATAACTCTTTGAAATGTGGCTGGTGTGTTTTTCATTCCAACAGGCATTACTTTAAGTTGATACAGCCCATTTGGGGTTACAAACGCAGAAACTTCTTTCGCTCTCTCTGACAAAGGTACTTGCCAGTAACCACGAAGTAAGTACAACTTTGTGATATAAATGGCTTGTTTACCCTTTTCCACATAGTCTTCCAGCCTTGGAATTGGGTATGGGTCTGATTTAGTCACACCGTTGACCTTCCAATAATTTATGCAGAATCATTGAGTACCATCAGGCTTGGGAACCAACACGATCAGTGAACTCCACTCACTTTGACTCAGCTCAATGATGTCTTCTTGGAGCATCACTTCCACTTCCTCTGGACGTGTGCTGCTTTGAGAGCATTAAGCCTGTCGGGGCGTTGTTTTATCAGAACGGCATTTCCTATGTCAACCTCATGTACAATAGTATTAGTTCTCCCCATTCGATTTCTACATACATCGTCAGTGCTGCAACAAGCATTTTAATTCAGTTCTCTGTTCCTGAGACAGATAGCTTACTGCCCTATCCCATTCTTTCAGGACTTCCTCATTATTCAATTTATTACGAGGTACACCAAAATCTAAATCACCTGGATTTGATTCTTCACTCTGAGTGGCAATAACTAATACCTGTTTCTCCAGTTCCTTTTCCCTGTCTTAGTAAGTGTTCAGCATATTCACATGACATTCCCAAGAAGTTTTTTACTACCTAGCATACTTACTGACTTAGCTTCTTCTCAATTCATTAGGGCCCACTAAACCTTGCTTTGAAGAGATCTCCTACCATTGGTAACAGCATTAATACTTTATCCCTATAGGCAAAAGTATGAATTTTAGATTTCTTATCTGCTTCTTGCTTTATTAGATGCTGTGCCATTTTCAGATGTTCTCTAGCTAATTCACCTACTCTGTTTAATCTTTCTCTCACCTGAGATACATAATTCAGCTGTGAGATCTCTGACTTCGGACTTATCAACTTTTCCTTAATTAATTTTAAAGGCCCTCTTACTTTGTGTCTGAATTCGGGTGGAGTAAACTGAGTTGATTCATTTGGAGCATCTCTAATGGCAAATAATATAAATGGGATACCTTTATCCAAATCATTTGGCAATAAGCCCTCAACATGGTCTTTAGGGTCTGATGCCACCTTTTCAATACTCCCTGAGATTCAGGATGGTACACACT